ATATATATATATGCCACCAGATGCATCCTCATACTAGGCTACATTTGTCTGCTATGTCCTGCCGGAGTGTGACATGATTTGCTTGTGTACAAACTAATACAGTATCAAAATTTTATATATTTATTCTTCTCATTCAACCACAATTAAATTCACTCTCTCTAGGAGGCACATTACAGATAGTATTTTTTTTTTTACTAGCTGGAATGAAAGCAAGCAAAAATGAAATAAAAGTAACGACTTTCCACTTATTGCTTTTTTAAAAATGTACTGAGTAGAAAGCAAAAATAATTACTCAAGTAAAGTGCAGATACCCAAAAATTCTACTTAAGTACAGTAACAAAGTATTTGTACTTAGTTCCTTTAGAACTCTGCTGCTTTCTGAATGTTTTCTGTGTACAAAGCAAAATTAGATTTGCATTTCTAGCAAAGTTTTTGGACAACAATCAGCTATTTGCCATCCTACACATCCTTTATTTTGAAACTAATCCGTTTGTCTCTTACCATCTCTTTTTAACTCAGAAGGGGATGATGGAAAAAAAATCCAATGCGTGCCTTTCTTTAAATTGTATTCCTTTTGGAAAGCTTCTCACTACACAATAAGAACATTTGACACAAGGAATTTCTGCTACATTTGATGCTCTTGGATTTCACATTTTGGTGAAATCCACATGGCTTAAGACAAAGTTTGAATGTGCTGTTCCTCAAGGGGAGATCAAGTCTCAGGTGTCAAGCAAGCTGTTACAACAACAGGCAAAATACAGCAAACAGTTGGCTAATTGGCCTTTTGATGAGACAGTCTGTGGTGTTTCACAGCTGAACTGCTCAAACATTTGTCTATAAAAGCTAGTGGTGTGTGAAGCTTTTGATGCCATTTGCTTTGAACGAACTGTTGCCATAGTTTCTGCGAGGACTCGTCTTATCGTCAGCTGTTCAGCCATGATGTCTAATGGTGTTCGTTTTTTTTTTTTTCTCTATACCAAGGATTTTTATTAGGAAAATACTAATACTAAGATACATATGAAGTTAATGAAGATGCTACATTAGGTTTTTCATTAAAGCAACTGTCAAAGTGCCGCAAACCAAACTATTAGATTTACTGGTTAACAGTGCAATGGTTGTGGTGTTCTACTGACCTGTTGAGGTAGACTCGTTTCTCTGTGAACTGGCCTTGGCCGTGAATCGGGTCTTCAAAAGGTTCGTTCTGGACGACCTCCACCCCTTCCCCTCGGTCGCTCTGCTCGTGACTGTGTTTGCTGATCATGTACAGCTGGCCGATCCGGTACTGGATGATAAAGAAACATGCAGGAAACATGAAAACACCGACTACAAAGACTTAACAACCCAGCAACAGACAAGCTTCATCTATAGCTTTTCATCTAAAACAGACACAAAGATTAGCCACAAGTTTCTTTTTTCCATCTTCTGAAAGATAAACATCAGCTGCCAGTTTAGTCAGAATTAAAGTCCTTCAAGTCATACTTTAACTATGATATTAACTGTATTAACTGAACAAACAAGACATTTCTTACAAAGTAGTATTTCTTCACTTTCATGTAACTGTCTAAAGCAGTCGTTACCAAAGTTGGGGTAAGGTCCCCATTGTGGGTCATGAAACAAAGTGAGGGTCCCTCAATGATTTCCAGACATCAATTTAAATGCAAAGAAATTGTTAATGGAATATTTTCACCATAATTATTTAAAAAGAAAAAAATGAATAGAAGTAGTTTATAGTTATAGTTAGGTTTGTTTATATTGTTATTGTGCACGTTTAACAGAGTTATTGGCAACGTTTGCATATGTATACCAGTGATATTCAGGGTCACAAGTTTCTGCAACTAGTATTTTGTGGGCTAGAGGCTAAAAAGTTTTAAAAAAAAACACTGGTCTAAAGTGTGCATTATATTTATCTATGATGCTACATATCTACTGTACGTAATGTATTTGCTCACAGTGAATTTGTGGTGATAAGACTTTAAAACTGTAGCTGTTCTGGCTCAGAGAAAATTCTAACATTTAGAAGTCAGACATAAACAAGGTGCAATAAGAGTTGTTTTATGATGATGTCACTAATTAAACATCACTGATGAAGAAATAAATAAACTAAATAAACTAATATTTAGAAAAAAAGAGTTGTTTTACATTTTTATCTTTTTAATTTCCCCAAGATGGAATATCAGATAAAAAAAATGAACGAATGAAGCAAAATCAAACATTAGAAAAAACAAGATATAAACAGAAAATCTAAAATAAACGAGAGCTAAACTTTGCTTTTTGGTACACATAGAACATTCATAATGTTTTGGCTTACATGCAAAAGCAAAACTATTTTGTTTTTAGTCATAGGTTCATTTTTCATCAATAGGAAAGGATCTTGTGTGGGATGTCTGCTATGTAGTAAAAAATTCCAACCCAACAGCAGACAAGCGAAGCAAACAAGATAGTAAAAGAAATGTGTGGGAAAACGTGCAAAAACAACAAGCGAGAGGATGAACACTGTATTGGATTCCATTTCTACAAATATATACAAATTTACAATATAGTGAGAAAATATTTAAGCCCCTTTTCAGGAAAAAATTCCATCAACATCATTGAAGACATTTTCAAAAAGATGTTAAACTGGGATTCCTATTTCTGACTGAAAGGGTCAGCAAAATGTGAGACAATTTATACATGACAATGTAAAAATAAAAATTGGCGCACTTTATCAGAAATTGCTTTTGTGCTTAGCCTGAGGTCAACAATTTCTCATTTGATATTGCATTTATTTTTCATTCCTGTTTTATTTTAAAGTGTTTTATACTAAAAAAATATATGTTTACAAAGAGAAACAAACCTTTCTCTCTGCACTATTTAGACATTAAAAAGTCAGATTTTGATCTATTGTGATTGAACAACACATTAAATCATGTTAATAAACTATGGCTGTGGAAAAAATGGCTCTGCTACTTGCTCTTTTCCCAAATCATTGAATTAAGGATTGACTGAAAACGCCTCTTTCTGGCTTTTAATCTATAATCTACCTTTTCTTAGTGTCAGAGCTGGAGCCAATAAAAAAGCCAAAAAGAAAAACAAGAAACAGGAAATTTTAAAAATGACTTCAAAGAGGGAGAAAAAATGTCCCAAAAAATTATAAAGCGAGCAGCATCAAAGGAGGGTAATTTTAATGAGGGGTAAAAGACATGAACTAGAAAAAAAATAACTATAACATAAAATGAGGGTGCAAACAACCTGAAACATTTTTTATACTTCTAATCCTTTTTATAGTTCTGGGTAGTAAAGCTGCTTCCTTTTCACTCACACAGGCTTCAGTTCAGAGAAAAAAAAATCTCAAAAGGTGAGAGCTGGGCTCTGGTAATGAAGGAGACTGAATTCAGCATATTCCTCTGAATCCCACTTTTCTTCTTTGCCTGACCTTTAGCTGTCACAGCTGTTGGCTGCGCTGTGAAATGCTGTCAAGGGAAAATGTGAGGTGCTCACCTACAAAAGCTCACAGAGGGATTCTCAGATGTTGTCGACACAGAGCTGCCGTCAGGAAAAAAAAATCTATGATGGGTACAACTATTTAAAAAGGTATAAGGTGAAGTAAATTAAACAAACGTTTAAAATTCCCAGTTATTTTTTCCGGGCCTGGTAAATAAACATGCAAAAGTAGTCAAGAATGATCCAATTGTTGGGTGTTGTTTAAGAAAACAAATTTATTTATTTGCAAAAAATTAATAGAATAAAAGTAATAATTTCTTTACCTTTTTTTCCCTTTTAGGCACATCCAATATTCACAATGTTAAGCTTTTTGAAACTGGCACACAGCTGAAGAACAACTGTTTTAGTAAAACCACACAAATTGCATCATGCAAAAAATGCATCCTGAAGAGGAAAAACATTTATAAGTTGCATCAGAACAGACATTTAATCTGGAATAGCACACAGAACATACTTCCTGGGATGCCATATACAGCGGGTAAAATAAGTATTGAACACGTCAACATTTTTCTCAGTAAATATATTAC